CCAGATTCCTCATTCCCCTCACATTTTTAATCCAACCTGACAATAATTTAATGCCTGGGGAAAAGCAGACAGCCACTATCAGCTGAAATCAGTCCCTGTGTGCTAAGCCTGCCCTGGGTGTGTTGTGGGAGGCGATGCTGGTGCAGGAACTATTTGGGATTAGGTGCCCCCTTGCACCTTCTGCCTCGTGCTTGATGTCCCAGGTTTACACACCGCAGTACCTCCTTTCCATAAACTCTGGGTTTAGGATCATGCACAACATGATTTCATCCCTTTACTTGCTGATAGTCCCTCTTTGGTGCTGCTGCAACAGTGACATGAAGTTTGGTTATGATTTTCATAAGGTCTTGTCTTTTAATTTAGAGCTTGAAGTGAGACTGCAATGGCATAATAGAAATAGTACTTTTATGCTGAAAATTATGCTAGTAGTGTGAAAATGGAATAGGGCTGAAGCTCTCAACAAGCGTGGTTAAAAGGTTAAAAAATTTGTATTAGTTACATTTCATCCTAACTCGGGATGAGTCGAACTACCAACATCACTGAATTTCCCCAAAGATGAACCACTCCAAATCCTGAAGTTTTGCCATCCCTGGGGATGAGAGAGGTTCAGGGGCACCCTTGCTCATGCCAGAACCACTCCACTTAAATCCATGGCATTGCAACAGCAGCATCAGCAGAGCATCCTGACCCCACTACCACTGTCCCCACCGGGCTCTCAGCAGCATCAAGTGTGCCTGCGTAAGGATGCCCTGCCACAGCCTCTTGGGATGCAGAGGAAAAGGCAGGGAGGCTGTGAAAGGCTGGGAAGGGCAACCTGGAAATAAATAAATACACAGTGATCACTCATGGGGTTGCCTAATCACCTGTCTGAGCAAATGGATATCTCCAGCTCATAGCAAAAGGTTCGTTGTCTGTTTGTTAGGGAAAATGTTTGTTCTAGGCAGGAAATGAGGATTTCCTCCAGTTATTATTATGAATAGGAATGGGCTGGGAGGCTGCGCTGGGACTGAGTCCCCACGTGTGGGATGCTGAGGGATGTTGCACACATCCCCTCTGTACTGGGGATGCTGCTGCAGGCACGCTCTGCAGCACCTCAGCCTGATGAAGGAAGGTGCCTATGAATTACTCAATGCCTCCATAGATAAAATTAAAAAAAAATAAAATAAATAAAATGAGTTTGAGCTCCCTGACGTGGCAACACCACGTATAACCCCGCTCTGCTCTGCACCAGGCACGTGGGCTCCGTTTCCTTTTCACACACCCCATCACTGCCTCCTGTGTTTTCCTCCCTCAGGTATTTCAGTCATTTCTTTCCCAACACTTCATCACTCAGAGGCTCCTTCTGTGGGAGGACAGGGTATGTGTGAGACCCTCGACCTCGTCCCGATGGCAATGTTGATCTTGGAAGCTGCACGTGGCAGTGGTCACCGGTGCTCCTGGGGGGAAGGTGGCTGTGTCTCCCTCTTTTTGGGGAGTTCAAACTGCAGCAAGGGAGGTGCTGGTGAGACCTCTCTGGGGCTTCACTGAGCTGGCAACATGCTTGGCCAGAGCACGGCCCCGGTGCCTGTGCTGCAGCCTGGACCCGGTGGCAAAACTGCTGAGATGCTTTTTAGTTATAAAGGGAGAGCTGGTTATTGGAGCCTCAAGGCTGAGCCATTCCTGCTGCTGCTCCCTCTCCATCTCCCTCCCCTTCCCACTCACTGGGAAACCAGCCTGGGGATGAAGTTGGAGAAGACTGTGGGTGCCTTAAGAGCAGTGGAGAGCATATAACCCAAGTTATGTGTGTGTTTGTGCGTGGCCTGAAACACACCAGCTGCTATTACGAAGCTCTACAGAGCTTCAAAACCAAAGGAAACCCATTTTCCAGTCTCATTTTCCAGTCTCCAGCACCTGACCCTCCTCCTTGGCAGCACGGATGAGCGCTTTCCCTGGCACAAATGCCAGGGAGGATTTACTGTGATGCAAACGACCAAAGCATTTATATATAATGATATAAAGGTAACAAGGCAGCCTGAAAGTGTTTTACAGGAGAAGTTTGCCTCGGAGAGTGATTTAAACTTGAGCCAGGCGGAGAATCCCCCAGTGGAGGTGACTTTGCTGGCAGAGGCACATCATTCCCGCATGCAGCAGCACCGCTCGCCGCCCGCTTCCCCCCTTCCCTTCTGGCACCGGTTTGTTTTCAGCTTTCTGAAGCAACTGTAGCCCAGTGAGCTAACAGGAGGTGCTGACAGCTTGGGAGGTAGGGCTGGTGGTGCTGGAAGCTTGGAGCATTACACCTTTCCCGGGAAAATTGCGGCAATCACCTGGCAGGGTGGAAGAGAAAAAGGGTGTTTGAGCAATAGCTGCGATCACCACGGGGATCACAGTCCTGTTGGTACTGACTCTAGTAGATCCACTGTGTTTGCAGGGATGTGTTCCAGGGAAAAGCTCACAGCTGGCTATTTTGCCAAGGGAAGAGTTACACGAAGGAATGTTGTTGGGGATTTCTCCAGCTTGCTTGCTGTCGGGGCTGCAGCCTCCAGCCTCGGTCCCTGATGAAGATACATGCTAAAAGGTAGGGAAAACCTGGGGAAAAGGATAGATATGGGGGATGAGTCGGCTCCTGCAGCCCTCCCAGATTGTAGCCTTGGTCCTTGCACAGTGTGGAGCATCACAAGATCCTGTGGGATGGAGACATAGCCAGAGTTTGGTCACCAACATGCAAGAAGGGCCTCGTTGCTCTGGAACACCCTGCAGCTCATTCCAGAGGCCAAGCATTTGTTATTTGTATTTTGATTTTTCAGGTCCTTGCATTAGAAATGTCTCATTTTTTTTCCCTCTCCCTGAGAGATTGCCCAGCATGCTGGATTGCAGCAGCTTTGGGGAGAGCTGGGGGAAGAAAAGCCAGCATCTCAAGTGGTCAAAAATGGGTCATTGTGGTTGACAAAGGGGGTCTGGGTGTAAGGTACAGTGCAGATGCTTGCTGGGTGAAGTCAGGATGGCCAGAAATCTCCCCAAAGCCACCTGTGTCAGATCCACGAAGGGGATCTGGATTCCCTTGGTTTCCCTGAGACCAACAGCATTTGAGGTGCCTGCTACCCCTTTCTGCCTGACAGTGAAGGCCAAGGTTGTGGGGAGGCTCGGAGGGGGCTCAGGACTGCCTGGCCATGGGGAACAAGTGCTGCGTTGTGCCACCAACCCTGCTCCTTGGCCCATGTCAGTAGAGGGTTTGACCGCCCAGCTTTGCCAGCTCAGCACTTCAGCACGTGCTAAATTCACCCAGTAAATAAAAAATGAGCAAGGAGCTTCTGATGGGCTGAGAACAGGCGCCGCATCGACGGCGGTGGCTGATCCACCACGGCTCCACAGCCAGCTCATGGAATGCTGGCTTGGTGATCACCATCCTGGGGGTGGTGATTCTGACCAGGCTCCTGGGAAGGTAAGGTGAGGGATTTTGTGGCAGCTAGTGCCTGTAAAAACTTGCTTTCCAAGCTGTCAGACCCGTGTCAGAGGGACCTGCATGTGGCAGGTCCTCCTCCACCAGCAGCCGCCGCGATGCTGGGAGCACCAGGATGGGAAGGGGTTTTCCATCCTCTTGCAGGGAAGGCAGAAATAGCACCTGGAATGACTCGAGGCTTGGGATGAAGCATATGTGAATGTGAGCAGGGAAAATGAGGCTGTTGGATTGATTGTCTTGCCAAAGGCCCAAAAAATGCAAAATTTCCCTGAAAGTCAGGTATCTTCGTGGCTGTTCTCCGAGACATTCCAGATTTGGAAATACTTTTCCTTTGGATGAGAAGAATGTAGCACAAACCTTTTTAGTTGCTCTCCAGGCTGCATCCTCCATTATTCATCACTACAGAAATCACTCATGTCCCTCTCTGAAGCACTGTAGAGTATCTCCCATCCTCTCAGGATGCTCTATCCCACCTGGAGCGGCTCGGCACATCCACACCTGAGTACCAAGCCCTGGGAAGCGACGGAACCAGGAGATGAACTCAGTCAAGAAGGAGAAAAATTAACATTCCCAAAATTGCCAGAGTTTTGTTTGTAGAAAGGATTTGCACTTCTGAGAGGGCTATTGACTTTCAGGAGACTTTCCAAGGCTTTCCAAGTGCCTAAATCACTGTTGGAAATATGCTTGCAAATTTTTTTAAGTACTTAGAAAGTATTTCTCCTGTGTCCTCAGGCCTCCCCCAGTGGTAATTACAGAGTTGTCCATTAACCACAACGTGCAAATCTCTGCTTGAAGCTGTTGCATGTCCAGCACCCAGAGGACAGACCTCATGGAGAGGCACGTCTGGGATTTTAAAAATATGAGAAGGATGACGTGGGGAACTGAAGTTGCATATTTAGAGGGCAAATGCCTATTTTTTCACACTGGCCTTCAGGTTTTTGAAGGTTTCATAGACTGAAGGCCATGTGAAATGTAGCTTCCCCCAGCTTGGGCAGTGGGCAGCTCCTCCTGGGGCAGCAGGAACTTCTCTTTAGATACAGCAGCCTCTGTGTTGTCTCCTGCAGTGGCTCCTGTTACTGTGTGTGTCATGTAGTGGCAGCACCCCAAGCCTCTCAGCAGTGTGTGGTTTGTGGGTAGCAACTCAGCACAAGCACCTTGGATTTATTAAGAGCTGAAGTTCATTTGATTTTGGCGAGCTCTGTACTGCCTTAAACACGCAGCCAGGGGATGTGTGGGGTGGAGACGGTCGTGTAACTGATCCAGAGCATGCTGGGGGTGGTTTTGATGCCATCGCCCGTTGCAGGGACAGGAGAGGTGCAGGAGCTGCCGTGGATGGGGAGGTGGGGGTTTGCAGTGTCTGCTGACCTTTTGGGGACCATCTGGCTGCGAGTGTTTCTGCTGCTCTTCTCGCTTTCTGTTGGGATGGGAGGCTCAAGTTTGGGACGGGGTCGGGAGTACTCTCAGCTCGCCTGCTGTAACTTCTATCCCAGCCCAGCCTCAGGACCGCCCCCGTTCCCCTGTCCCCACACCTGCCTCAGCTGCCTCTCTCCCCTTGCCTTTGCAGAACCGCCAGACTTTCAACAGCCTTACCTGCCTTAGCGCCGCGGCCGAGGACGGCTCCCAGCGGCCCCCCGGCCCGCCGGGCTGGAGCGCATCCCGCCGCTCCCCGGAGGTGATGCCGGGCAGGACCCCCGCCTGCACCCCCGTGCCGGGGCCGCCCCGCCCGCAGCCCGAGGACCCCCGGGCCAGCAGGGATGACCTCTCCTGCGAGGAGGAGGAGGAGGGCGCCGGGAAGGAGGAGGACAGGGTGGCCTGGCGGAGCGGCGGGACAGGCGCCGAGAGTCTCTTCCAGCTGGACGGCGAGATCGACATCGAGCAGATCGAGAACAACTGAGGAGGGAGCGGGTCGTCTCGCCCCCCCGGTGTCGGGGGCTGCCAGCAGAGCCCTGGAGGGGCTCCTCGCTGCGGTTTGCGGGGTCCTGTCACTGCTCCCCCTCCTGCCAGCTGGAGGGGACAAAGCAGCTTTGCCAAAATTTCATCAGGTATTTAGAGCAATTTGTGTGCATGTGTGTGTAAATCTTGAAATTCTTTGTAACTACTGTAGCCAGAGATCAGCCAAGCCGGAGGAAAGTGCCTGTCCGGTAGGAAAACCAGGCACAGGGGTTGCCAAAGTCTCGCCATGAGCGAGTAAATGGCTTTTCCCAGGACAGGGTTGGAGCTGATGGAGCTGGCCGTGCTCCCCTGGGTCCCACCTGTGCTAGTTCAGAAAGGGATGCACAAGGAGAAACCACCACCCCTGGGGCTTGAAGAAGTGTGTGGGGGGAAACCAGAGTATTGAGATTTGCAAACTGAGCACTGGCTGGTGGCCACTGCCGGGGTGGCTGTGGCCCCTTTTCTCCCGCCACATCCCGTGCAGCCCCAGCACCCCCTCTCTCCCCGTGTCCCCGGCAGTGCCGTGAGAAGGAAATCACAAGTGAAGTCTTTTGCTTTTAAATTTAATAATGGCAAAAGCTGGATTTTTACTGCCTTTTTTTTTTTTTTTTTTTTTTTTTTTTTTTTTTTTTTTTTTTTTTTTTTTTTTTTTTTTTTTTTTTTTTTTTTTTTTTTTTTTTTTTTTTTTTTTTTTAAGTTTTCCTGATGAGGAATTAAAGGGACCCCTGGCCCACGTGGGGTGGTGTCCGCAGCAGCGCTTGCCGGGTGCTGCCTGGGAATGCTCAAATGCTCTTCTTCCCTATTTTTTTTTTAATTCCCAGCCCCCTCTCAACCCTGTTGGGAAACAGCCCCACTCAGGCTCGGTGCCACCCTAGCTTGTGTTCCCATCACCCTGTTGGGGCTGGGCTGTTTACCCATTTATCAGCAGCTGTGCCCTCTTTGCTACCCAGGGCACGGCTGCCACCCTCTTTTTTTGGCTTTACTGTGAAGGGCTGCGCGCCCGAGGCACGTCACAGCGGGGTTACTTGACAAAGTCAGCTGGCAAAAGGCTGAAAATCCAGGTAGCAGCACTGAAAGCTTTTCCTCTTCCTGTGCCTTTTTTTAAGCACAGATAAAATGGTGACCATTCTGTTTTTTACAATATGAATTCTCTTTGCTAAAAATAAGCTGTCCACTTGCTAACGGGTTTAGAAGGACACTTTTTTTTTCTTCTCCCTTTGTTTTTTTTTTTCTTTTGTTTGTTTGTTTAAAGCTCTAGGGAGGCTGTACGAGTGGCTTCCAGCATCCTCTGCAGGTTCCTTCAAGTTCAGGGCTCACTTCCCGAGCTTTGCAAAAGCGAGAAAGGAAAAAAAAATCATTGATACCAACAGCAATTGAAGACATGACATTTTTAATGGGGTTCAGCACCCTCGTGGGCAGTGCTTTGAGGGTCCCTAACTCAGAAAGACTGAGAGCTGCTGGTACAGGTTTCATTCACCATTTCTGGTTGTTAGTGCACTTTTCTCTGCAGTGGTTTGGGATATGTGTGGCATCTCCCACCACAGTGGAACCCATTGGCTGTTATCCCTGTCCTGGCACCACAGAGGTTTGGATCCCTCCAGGCAAGCAGGACCAGCCCCAGGTATTTGAGGAGGGGACAACAGGCATGTCTTTTCATTTTGGGGAGCCCTCCAGCTCTTTTAAAGCGTTGCTTGATGCATCACTTAGAAGAAAATACATCCTGGGTGAATTTTTAGCCCTCCTGTTGTGGAAGACGCTGCTGGTCTCAGACATTTTGGGAGGGTCCAGCCATGCCAGTGTTTTCCCAGGTTGCCGCCCCTCTGTCCATGCCCCTGCAGTGTCACCCCCACAGCACAGTTCTTGGCTCTGAGTCTTCCTGATGCTCCATCCATCCTTCCCACCACTGACACGTCCCAGTCTCGGGGCACACAGTTCCTGCTGGCCACAGGCACCTCCTCAGCTGGCCCAAAAAGGGCAAAGACACCCAAATCCGTGTCCGGCTGCTGCCGCAGAGCCCCGGGCGGGCTCTCGCACGTGCATCGCTGGGGCTGGAATTCCTAAGGGCTTCTGTTTTCTTTCCAAGGGCTGCTCCTGGTGCCACGCTAACCCTGCAGTGTGGGGAGGTGGCCGATGGACCACGATCCAGCTGCACTGGACGTAGCCGTAGCATTCAGTTTACATACAGCACAACCTGTTTGCCTTACTAAAAACGCTTCTCCAATGAGTCATGGCCTTATACTGGGCACGTTGGCGTAGGCACAGACTACAGTTAGCGACAGTTTTGAGGCCACAGTGATGTTCTGTTGGGTATCTCTTGTTGGGTTTGTATGATTTCATGTACTTATTCTCAGTTTAGTAAAGCCTTACTTTTTAAATTTTTCTCTCTCTCTCTCTCTCTCTGTAGAGGTAAAACGTTTGTGGATTTATATATATATAAATATATATATAAATAAAGTAATTAAAAAATATTAAATATAATATAGTATGTGCCTCAGATTCAGGGGACATCCTGTTGATTGTAAAGTCAGAAGTGGTGTTGCTCCCTGGCGTCAGGAGATCTGTCCCCTACGCCCGCAGTGGGAGAGCAGGACCTGGGGGTCCTGCTCCTGGTTTGTAAAGGACTTCACCTATTACACAGATGCTTTGGTAACCTTCCAACTCCCCCCCAACAAATCCCTGCCGGCTGCCAGAATGTGATGTTAAAGTAATATGCAGACAAAGGATGTTATTCCTTGCTAAGTGGCTAAAACAAGCTTATTATTGTGAAGAGACCCGATGGCTTGTCCAAGGTGTGACCCAGTCTGGGCAACCACTGTTTTAGGATGACAGCAAAGCTGTGTCAGCAGCAATCATCATGAAAAAATAGGATTTTAATACAAAAAGTCTTAGCAGGCACATGGGAGTTTGTTGTGTATTTGCAGATGTAGCTCTTTGAGCTGGTTCTATGAAAGAGTACATTTTAAAAAAAACAAAATGAAACAATGAAAAGAAGTGTTTGTAAAATAGATTGTAATTTTTCCACGTTCTAGCATAGCCTGTTTGGCCAATAAAGTTGTGTTTCAAGTGCATTGTTTAAAGCTCCTGGCTGCCCAGGCGAACAGACTGATGTAGGATGTTCTAGGATCGTAGCGGTGCTTTACGGCGCGTACGAGTTCGGTGTTTTCAAGAAAGCGAAAGAAGAGGATGGCCAAATAAAAATAATAAAAAAAAAAAAAAGGATGAGGAGAAAAATAAATAAATAAAAAAAAAGAAACACCAAGCCTTCTGAAGCTATGACCTGTAGTAGCCAAGTCTTGCTGGCAATTGCACAAGCGCCGTGCGTGTCCCCGGGGAGGGGCTGCCCGAGGTGCCCCCTCCGCGGGCCAGCGAGGAGGCTGCACGTTCCCACCCCCTCCATGACTTGATTGCACTAGAGCAGCTCAATCTCAGGAAATTGCTTGTTACTTTTACTGTGTAAATAAAGCTTCCTGGTTCAATAACCCCCGGGCCGGTGTCTCATCTCTGTGTGCTGCGGGGTCGAGGGGGGCTGGGGACGCCGCTGCCCCTCGGGGATGGGACAGCCGGGTTGTGGCACTGGTTGGAGTTTGATGGGGCAGGAGTCTTCTCTCCTCTCCCAGAAGGGGTCTGGCTGCACCCTCTTGGCCATCTCCATGGGTGCTGGGAGGGGGTGTCCCAAAAATGCGTGTGTGTTGGCGAATCCCCCAGCTGGGACCCTCCATCGAGGTGTCTGTGTTAGAAACAGGAAGGAGTTCCCATTGCACTGGAAAATGGACATTTTGTGATATTCACATATAGACAGACATGATACATCCCACCCTGGTGGGGGTTGTCTCCCACTGCCCCCCCAGCCTGATCCTGGCTGTCATTTAGTTGTGACACAGCTGAAGATACAATAACAAAATGCCGAAAATCTAACAACAAACGGCAAATTTAAATGCCAAATAGCACCTTATTCTTTGTGTTTAAGGACAGAGATAATGTTCCACTCCTAAACTCAATGTCTCACCCCTAAACTCAGGCAAGGCCAGAGCTGACAGCAGGGCAAGGGCACACAGGGGTGTTAAATAAATACATGGGGAAACAGGGCGAGATCTCCCCTTTATAACCCAAAAAGGAAAACGGCTGTGCTTCCTCCAGCGAGCAAACAGTATAAAAAGTTTCATGACAGATGGCAGGATGTTTATCTGCCTAAACTTAATCAGATTGAAGTGATAGGCTTAGTATAATAGAACAAAAAAAGGAAGAATTAGGGGATAAAAAAGAAATTCTCAGTGATCCGTCACAGCCCGAATGTTCGATCAGGGTTTATGGCATCCTTCCGTGTGTGTGGGTGCTGACAGTACCACATGCTCTGGCTGAACCACTACCCAGAGGATAAAAGATACAAAAACAGACCCAAAAATTGCGCTAAGGTCATATTCCCAGATGTAGTTTATTTTATTAGAATTCAATTCCCAGCCCGCTTTCCCCCTGCCGTCCCCAAAGGGGTGCCCTGCAGCTCAGGGGCCAGCTGGTAGCTCTGAAAGACAAATGTTCCAACACTCACAGGTTGCTCCAGAAACAGGGAGAATCACTTTTTGGTGTCCTTCAGCAAGCAGGGTCCTCTTCAGCTGTTGGGGCTGCTGGGGCTGGAATTATCATTCACCTCCTGCTTGCAGATGTGGGGAGCAGTGGCTGAATGCAGGCACTGGCCAGCACATTACATATAAACACACAAACAGAATTACATACCTGACCAGGGGCCCATGGGACGTCTGAAGCAGCTTAAAGCCTTGCCCAGAGCCCAGGAGGGTGCAGAGCTGCTGACATGTTGATTAAAAGGGGATTTTTGCCTCTAAATGGTGAACTGGGCAACTGCTGCCACGTGTCGGTGAGGGTGGGCAGAGGACGTGACAGAGCAACCCCTAATCTTTAATTTTTCCACCCATTTTGAGCCCCTGTCTCAGCCACGCTCTTGCCACGTGAGGAATGGCCAGGAGTTACCACACAGGCTGCAACACCTGTACTGCAGAACTGATGGGGGAGAGAAACTAAAAACCCTGGGGACGTGCGGGAGAGCTGCAATGCCTGGAAGCAGGAAGCAGCTCCTTTTAGAAATCCTTATTGTGGTTAGAAGAAAAAAAAAAAGCAAATCTCATGGCTGCCCCTGCTCCGTGGAGCACTACTTTGCAGCCCTGCACGTGCTGAGAGCTCCTGGCAGCAGGATGGGGCTGAGCTGGAGCTAAAATGATGTGGCAGATTCTTGGCAGGCATGTGGTGCTGGTGTGGGATCAGTCCCAGGAGACGTTCAGTGAGTACAAAGAATCTCAGAATGGTTTGGGCTGGAAGGGACCTCAAAGACCATTTTGTTCCAACCCCCTGCCATGGGCAGGGACACCTTCCATTATTCCATGTTGCTCCAAGCCCCAACCAACCTGGCCTTGGACACTTCCAGGGATCCAGGGGCAGCCACAGCTTCTCTGGGCAACCTGTGCCAGGGCCTCCCCACCCTCCCAGGGAAAAATCTCTTCCCAATATCCAATCTAAACCTACCCTTTTTAAAGCCATTCCCCTTTGTCCTGTTACTCTATGCCCTCGTGAAGTCCCTCTCAAGCTGGAGCTGTGTGGGACTC